TTTACTGCTTGATGCAGCCTGACCAAAATACTTCTGTTTGCCCCAAGGAAAAAAAAAAAAATCCACAAAACGGAAAAACACAAGATGATCCATAAAGAAAATACAAATTCAGTATTAAAATGCAAAACCCATAAACATTACTAAGGGGACACTAAATCGCAGTGAAAGGAGATCATATAAATACTGCACTTATAAGATGGAAATGCAGGGAGATACTTAACACACTTATGCACAGCCCAGATGCTAGTCCATGACTCATCTATGTTGCTGAGTCACACGGTAACACAGAACACCAAGATAACTACTTACATGCAGATGCTACTAATACTACTTGGATAGGGGAAAAATGGTATCTCTACCTTTTAATATTGATATCTATAAAAAATTAAATTACTTTTTAAAATCTAATAAATAAAATGCACATGTGAAAATCTCAAATTTATTTCAAGGAGCCAAGAAACTAGATTTGAGAAGCCATTAAATGATTTCTAAGGGAATTCCAAAAAGATATGAGGATTTTGTGCAAAATTAAGGCAGAGAGAAGAGTAAAGGGACAGGAGATCATAGAGATTTCTGATATGTTCTCTGTCCTCGGAGAATATCATCTAGATTTGTGGGACCACGTTTTAAACTGCAGACTGTGATCAGGTCAGGAAAACAATTTAGTGGGTCATGATGGTCATTTTTTTAATGAAAGAGAACATTATCTAATAGAAAATACCAGGTTGCAACTCACATAGCAAGAGAAGTATCAAATTCTGCGTATAACTGTGTGTGCACTTGTATATGTATTCATTTGCAATGTAATATACATTTCATATGGCAGGTTCCAGTCACAAAAGTTTGAAAAACACTCTTCTTTAAAAGACTTTCCTTAGAAGGGCTTTATTTTTAACACAAACTAAACACACTTAGTTATGAGTACTGGCCCTTTTCTTTGTTCTTGGCATCTGTGCTAAAATTAAAGAGAGAATGTGAGTGGAATATTAGAAATGGAAGGAGGAGGCAAATTAGCAGAATGTAAATGAGTGAATTGATAATAACAGAACAAAGAGCAAGACAACGAGATGGATGAGCTCTGGCGTTTTTTTCTAAAACCTCTTGCTTGTGATAACTAAGGATTACTTGGATATTTTCTGTCCTCTTTACAGCACTGGATATACGGTAGCTGCTCAATAATTGCTCATCCAGTGATCCTCTAGAATATCTGCATTCTCTCTATGTCAATGCTAATCATGCAGAGTGATGGCTGTCTTTCCACTGTCAGTCCCCTCCACTTGTAGGAGGCTGGACTCATGTTTGGTCCACTGCTATATCCCCACCCCTATGACAGTGCCTGGCGGATAGCAGGTGTTCAATGCATTTTGGTTGAATTGTATTGAAGGGCATCAACAGACAATATAGTTATAATGCCCATTTGATGCTTAACCCCCTTGCAAGAAAAAACTGATTTCAGTCCACTGACCAAAGATATGCTAATTATAGAAAAACAGCAAGAACAAAACTCTAAATTTAAGTTTCCAGGGAGCCAACAGCTTAGAGTCACTTATGCCTCTTTGTCCAGAGCTCAGGTTGACTCGAAGGACTTGTCTCGACCTTTTAGAGAATAAGAGCCCCTTGAAATCTGGTAAGTTATTTAGAATATTGAGTTTGGACCTACTTTTCAGACCCAGTCTGGCTCCTAGAGACAAAGTGGAGAAGCTTTTTCTAGTGTAGACAGCTTGAAGGCAACAACCACTTTGAATCCAAAGCTGCTGAGCTATTTCAGAGATCCTGTCCACATTGCTAACTAGAGCAGGCAGAATGCCCGGGAAGGCCCAAAGTAGAGGGCTAGATTTAGAGACGCAGTCAACAAGGTCAAGTAATTCAACAATAAATCAAGCCCTGGTTTCTTCCTCACAAGAAGCCTAGGATGAAAGGAAATGAGAAGGGGCTAGGAAGCTGTTTGTCTCCCCCACCCCTCTTCAGCTCCGTCATGCCTCCATGCCTAAGTCTAGGTGTTCAAACCAACTCCTAGAAATGTAGCTGTGTGTGGTGAGTCACGAAGGATGCCCTGAGCATGGAAAGGCATATGGTCAGTTATCAGTGGGAAGATGAGTGAAAGATGCCCTTATCAAAGGGTTAAGTCAAAGGTCAAACTTAAAGTATTGCTCGCTAGTTAACAGGTGCTCATCTCAGCCAGGCAAACATAAAAACATGGCTATGACCACCAGTGGAAATTCCTCTTTATCGTGCATGCTAGAACTTAAAGTATAATAAATAAATAAATAAATAAAAGAAATTCCTCTTTATCAAGGAAACTGATGAGTATTAAAGGTAGAGAAAAATGCTCCTTCATATCAGACATACTAAAGCAATGGTTTTTACCTTCATGAGTCCTATATATACACAGTTGAATCTCGCTTCTCTGTGAAAAGGGGGCAAGGAACAGAGTAACTCTGGTCTGCAAAGTTCAATGGATACCATAGAATCTAGAACACTTATTTTGGCAGACAGTTTCAGCCTCCATTCCCCACCCCATTTCTTTTTGCTTGTTTTATTGTTGTTGTTGTTGTTGTTGTTTGTTTGTTGAGACAAGGTCTCCTTCTGTCACTCAGGCCTCAGGCCAGAGTGCAGCAATGTGATCATGTCTCACTGTAACCTTTGCTTCTGATCCTCCCACCTAAGCCTCCTGAGTAGTTGGGAGCACAAGTGTATACCACCATGCCCATCTAATTTTTATATTTTTTGTGGACACAGGGTTTTTGCCATGTTGCCCAGGCTGGTCTTAAATTCCTGGACCCAAGATATCCATCCGTCTCAGACTCCCAAAGTGCTGGGATGACAGGCATGAGCCACTGCACCTGACCACCCCACCCAATTTCTATCCCACTCTCCCTCTGACCATCTGCCAATGTATGCTGAAGGAGCATAAATCATCCTTAGGTTAACTTCAGCCAAATGTAATCAAGAGAGCCAGTTGGCTTAGGGCTCAAAAAACAAGAAGGAAGCTACATATTGTGTGCTCCAAAGTCAAGCAGGAACAAAGTTGGGGCTTTTCTTTTTCTTTCTTTCTTTCTTGTTTAAAATAACACTATCTAATGTCTCTATGTAGTTTGAATCTCAATTCTAACTTCAGCATAACTTAATCTCCTCCGGCCTCAGTTTTCTAATAAATCATTTGTAAAAGATAAAACACGTTTACAATCTCTACCAGTACCTGGCAACTTAATGGGCCAGCATACTACATTAATTATCATCAGAGGCTGGGCGCGGTGGCTCATGCCTGTAATTTCAGCACTTTGGGAGCCCAAGGCGGGCAGATCACAAGGTTAGGAGATGGAGACCATCCTGGCTAACATGGTGAAACTCCATCTCTACTAAAATCAAAACAAAAAACAAAACAAAAACAAAACAAAAAAATTAGCTGGGCATGGTGGCGGGTGCCTGTAGTCCCAGCTACTTGGGAAGCTGAGGCAGGAGAATGGCATGAACCCAGGAGGCAGAGCTTGCAGTGAGCCAAGATCGCACCACCGCACTCCAGCCTGGGCAACAGAGCCAAGATTCCGACTCAAAAAAAAAAAAAAAAAAATTATCATCAGAACTGCAGTATTACATTTTGTAATCCATTTTGGATTGAAGCAGAGGTTCTGGAGTCAGAGGGACTCTGGAATGCTGGTTTCATGGACTTCATCAGCCATGAGGAAATTTCCTTAACCTCTTTGAACATTAATTGTCTCATCTACAAAATGGGGATAATAAAACCATTTCATAGGGTTACTGTAAGGGTGAAATGAGCATCTGTGTGTCAAATGCTGTGTGTCAAATGGCACAGAATAGATGACCATAAATGATAGCTATTATTATGATGATGGCTTGCCCCCTTAGAGATATGCCACCAATAAAGAGCTGTTCTCTGGCTAGCTCAGAAAACCAGACACATTTCCTAAAAGCTACTGATGCTCAATGTCCTGATTACCAACACGTTCCCCCGCGTCCCTGCTCCTCCTCCCACATTCTCTATTACTGTGGATGGTGTACCAGCTTCCCTGTTATCCATGTGAGAAAACCTATAGTCCTCGTTGACTCCTCCTTCCCCGCCACAGCAAATCTGTCATTGGGTTCCAGTGATTCTACTTCTTGAATATCTCAACTCCATCTGTTTCTCTCCATCTGCTTGCCACAGTATTAGTTCAGGCCACTATCAACTTGCCTCTAGATAACATGCCTCCCACCTGGTCTCCTTTTCACCACTATCAACTTGCCTCTAGATAACTGCCTCCCACCTGGTCCACTATCAACTTGCCTCTAGATAACATGCCTCCCACCTGGTCTCCTTACCCCAGCCTTCCCCGTTCAATCCACTCCCCAAGCTGCAACTACTGCCATCTTTCTAAAGTACAAATCTCATCATGCCTCTCCCCTGCTTTCAGCTCTTCATTGGCTCCCCCAAATAATCCCAGTCACCTAATGTGGCTTCCAGAGTCTGCCACGATCTGCCTAGTGCTTCACTCCCTCCCTAGTCTGATATCTTACCATGTCCCCTCTTGTGCTCCAGCCACACTAAATAATTTGTAGTTCCCCAAGTGAGTCATGAATTTCTCCCTCTGAAAGGATGTGACACATTTAGGATACATCATCCCTTCTCTTCTCCATGCTAACTCATTCTCAATTTTTAAGTTTTAGCATAGGTACAGGAAAACTTCCCACTTGAATACTGGGTTAGATGTGCCTCCCATCGTACTGTGAATGTCTGCTTATTTGTTCATCTCCTACACTAGACTGGGAGCCCCTTGAGGATAAAACCCATTTTTCTTATTGAAATACTTCAGACATCAAACAGCGACTGGCTTTGTGCCAAACAGGCTCTCGCTGTTTGTTTGTTGGATAGATAAGTGAATATTAGCAATTGGCCCTGCCTTATGAAGCAATCTCTACCTGAAGGCAGCAGTGGCATTGAGCTGCCCAGTAGCTAAGCCAACCCCAGGTACCTTTGCTCATCCAGCAAAGCCAACACCTACCTAGGATGGCCACCACCTCATCATCTTGGATCACCTCCAGGGAGCCAGAAACCACAAAGCAGAGGCTGTCAACGCTCTCTCCTGCATGGTAGATGAGATCCCCTGGGGCACAATGCACCGTCTGGAACTCCATGGCCAGTGCCCGGAGGCAGCCATCACTGGCCAGCCGGAAGGCCGGGTGCTCCTTGAAAACCTTGCGGTTCAGGTGCACGCAGATGTCAGCTCTCATGTCCTTGGGGCAGATCTGCAGGACCTAGCCAGGCACAGAAAAAAACAGTGTGAGGGTCCTCACTGTGGCCTTCAGCACTTCAGGGGGAGGAGCAACATCCACTACACCAGACTACACTCTTGTAACCAAAGTTCCTGCCCTTATGGAGCTTATATTCTTATAGATGAGACAGATAGTTTCTAAAAAAAATCTGTGCTGAATGTTCAGGACAGGGGTCTGAGAGTCAGCACTGGGAGTAAGTAGGACTCCTGTAGACTAGTGGTCAGAGAAGACTTCTCTGGGAAGGTGACTTTTTTTTTTTTTTTTTTTTCGAGACAGAGTCTCACTCTGTCAGCCAGGCTGGAGGGCAGTGGCATCATCTCAGCTCACTGCAAGCTCCGCCTCCCAGGTTCACGCCATTCTCCTGCCTCAGCTTCCTGAATAGCTGGGACTACAGGTGCCCGCCACCATGCCCAGCTAATTTTTTGTACTTTTAGTAGAGACGGGGTTTTATCATGTTAGCCAGGATGGTCTCGATCTCCTGACCTCGCGATCCACCCGCCTCAGCCTCCCAAAGTGCTGGGATTACAAGCGTGAGCCACCGCACCCGGCCCGGAAGGTGACAGTTAAGCTGACTCCTGCATAAGTGCCAGAGTGAGCCATGTGAAGAAGAACATCCCAGCAAGATAGCAAACACAAAGACCCTAAGAGAGCCTGAGCAATGGCCAAAAGGAGTGAGAGCAAAGGGGCAGGAGATGAGGATCAAAGACAACACGAAGTACAAGAGACTTTCAGGTGTAATAAGCCTTGGGTTTTACTCCGAGTATGATAGAGAAATACTGAAGGATTTTTGAGCAGGAGAATGTCATGACCTGACTTACATCTGAAGAAGATCATCGAAGGTACAGAGTGATGTTAGAGAGTGCTGACTATAGGGTGTCAAGAGTCTAGCCAAGGAATCTAGTTAGGTCCCTCCTGCAGCTGTCCAGGTGAGAGGTGAGGGAAGCCTTGACTGGGATGCTGGCAGGAGAGCCAGGGAGGAGCAGTTAAATTTAGAAAAGACTTTTAACGGAGAACGGACATGATTTGCTGATGGACTATGAATATAGGGTGTTATTTAAAGACAGATATAAAGTAACATTTACTAAGCACTTACTGAGTGGCAGGCGTTGCTAAGCACTTTAGAATCATTCATTCATTCAATATTTATCACACACATTATGGTATGCCAGGCATCATCCTAGGCTCTGAGGATGAAGCAGTAAAAAAACAAAAATAAAAAAAGACAAAACTCCCTGCCCTCATATAAGTTACCATCTAATGGGAGGAGACAAATAATAAGCAAAATAAATAAAATTTAGTGGTAAGTGCTTAAAGAAAACAATAAAAAAAGGAAAGAAGGATAGGCAAAGTTGAAAAGGGTTGTGATTTTACATTTTAAACTGTTATGTGCATTTGCTAATTTAATCCTCCCATAAACTGTATAAGTGTTATTATTATATCATTTTACGATGAGAAAACTGAGGCACAAGGAAGAGAAATAACTTGTCCAAAATTGCCAGGAAATGGCACAGCTGGGGTTTCAGACTAGGTAGCTTGACATCAGAGCCTGGTTTAGATCCCAACCAATTCCTATACTAGGCAGCTGCCCCCCCAAAAAGGCTTGTAATTTTATTATCAACATCTCAGCAGCAACCTGGAATTCAAGCAAAATGAAAATTGGAGGATGCTATGCAGGTCTCATCTTCTGAAAAAATTAAAAATTTACAGGTTTTTCTAGAGTGAGAAATATTTCTCTGGACTAAATGTTTGCAATAAAACATTGCATGGCCCCTTACATAGCAGGCATTAAGTACGGACACCTTCAAGCAAACTTCTCCAGAGAAATCAGAAGTGTTTCTAAAATAATCCATTCTCCCATCCTAGCTTATAAGCAAAGCTAGGGGCATAAAATCAAGTATGTTCAGTGATGACATTTTCCTTGAGGTTCTGGGTACTTTCCCACCACTGCTTCTCTGCCTTAGCACAAGCCATTTGCTACTGTATCTGCTGCTCATCCCCAAAGTTGGAAGACTTTCAGCCTCCTTCAAAGTGCAGCTCAAACCTCACCTCACCCCCGATGGCTTCACTTATATCCCCACCCCCTCAGGTGCCCCTGTGCTCTCCTTGGAGGTACAGCAGTGGAAAGAGGTCAAAGAGCTGAAATCCCAGCTCCTTCCCCTCCAGGTGACACTTTCGTTTCTCCTATCAAATGCAGACTGTTAACACTGACTTGCGAGATTAAATGAAATTATATCTACCAGTACACAGCCTGGGACAAAGCTTGGCCCCAGTAGGGGATTCGGAAAGCACAGATGCCCTTGCCCTGTGTACCTCTGCATTCTTGATCTGGGATTGCAGGATGCCCAGCAAGTGAGCATGCCCTCTGGGAGTACAGACACAGGACAGACCAAGGCAGAGAGGAAAATTCAGAATACCAATGCTTGGGTGGAGCACTTGCTAAGGACTTACTTCTATAAGGCTCATTCAAAACAAGACTCCTGCAGAAATGCAGATTTAATTTAGTTCCTCTTCTCTCTGAGCAGATCACTAGATAATGGGCAGCACTCGCACGCCATGTCAAAACTGTGCCCAGTAGTCTGGAACCAAGACTTATTCTCCAGGTGAGTTCACCTTTAAATACATGGCTTCCCCTGGGCTAGACTTTACTCTTTCCCTGGAAGAGGCTGCTAGTGAATGAGGCCTTGGCATGGAGACAGTGTTTTATTCTGGGCACTGTTCCCAGAGCCAACGGAAAGTACAGTGTGAGCAGGTGAGGGAACCTGGAGGGGAGAAATTGCAAACTGTCACAGCCATCAGTCATTTCCATCATTCTTCCCATCTATTGGCTCCACACTGAGGTGGGTGGGGTGTCTGGAATTCCTTTCTCTGAGTGGAGTGGGGAGGTCTCAACTCTGAGACCCCACAGCCACCCTCCCCGGCTCTGGCCACCTTTCATACTGCTAGGTTTTGAGAAGAGACCATCCTTACTCTTCCTTGAAGGTCTCAAAGGCTAAAGGGAGATGTCAATGTGGAATCTCCTCCAGGCTAGGCAGAACAGGAGTCCTAAGTAAGAGAAGAGGCATTAGAATCAGGTAGAACTGGATTCAAGTCCCAGCCTCAGCACTCACTAGATGCATGAATGTGAGGCAATAGTTAGCTCCTCTCCCTATGTCTTCATTTTTTTGAAATTTCATATAGAATTCTTCTGAGGATTCCATGAGCTGTTGTGTGGAACATCCTGGTATAATGCCTGACACATACAAGTGTTCAATGCCTGTGAGCTCTCATTTTTGATGTTGTCATCACAGCAGCAGCAGCAGCAGCAGCAGCAGCAATTTCAGGGAGGCTTTGAAGTCCAGAAGGTCATAGCCAAAAGGGCTTTAGAGGTCACCTAGTCTTAAAGATCATGTTTCCATGTGTACAGACATAAAAACAGACTTGGAGAGAGACAAGCGATGTGTTCAAAGTCACCAGCCAATAGCTGGTAAAACTGGGGTATCCCAGCACTACCACCCACATGCCCTGGCTCCCTGGTTGTCACTGACCATTCTGACTTAAGATTGTAGGGGAGGGGCAGATGTGGAGAGGTATAGGACGACAGGACTGGTTCTCTCCCCAGCAGCTGCCTGCCACAAGCTCCTGCCTAGAGGAGCAGCCAGCCCGGGACAGACTGGGCTCCAGAATGAGCTGGGTCCACGGCTATTCCCTCTTCCATCTGGACCGGGAGCTGGGGTAAATCCCAAAGCCCTTCAAGAAAGTGAGGGCAGATCTGCAGGACAGATCTGCAGGGAGAGTAAGAGAGAGCAAATGCTGACGGTGCTGTCTCCCATGGGCAGCCACCCAGCCAGCCCTACAGCGAGCGGGGGGAAGGGCTTCTTTCCAGACAACCAGACTTACAAAGGCATCCTGGTGCCTGGGAAAAGGAGCCCTAGGGCAGAGAGATCAAAGTTCCTTTCTGCTCCATCAGCTGCCAGGAACCCACAGAACCTACAGGCATTGTTGAGAGAACACAGCAGAAACAACAGGCGTAGTTGGGGCAGGTGGTTGGCAAAGGCGGCCACTAAGTTCAGCCCCAGCTGATGCCCTGCCCATCCAAGAAATTAGAATGACTCTGTTGGGACTCATCCTCCTTCTCTCTAGTACATGTTTTAAATTTTTTTAAGTAATAGTAGGAAAAGCACAAGCTTTGAAGTCAGACAAAATGGTGTTCAAATCCTGGCTTTGCCATTCTTTATTCTGTGACCAGGGGCAGTTAGTAAAATGAATCAGGCCTCTTGTGCTTACCCCCTTCAATAGGGTAACAGGGTTGCTGTGGAGGCTAAATGAGACACTAGTGCAAGACCAGACATATAGAAGAAGCAAAACAAATATCTGTTCTTAATGCATGTTCAATAAATGGTAGCTGAGGTTGTAGTAGTGGTGTTATGGTTATCACGGCAAATAGTGAGCAAAACCAAAGTAATGTTCAAGTTGAGGATTAAATTCAGTTCAATTTTTCTTTTTAAACTGTCAACTCTCAACTGACAATTCTAATGAAGGAAGACTGGGAACATAAGTAGCTGATCCCAAAGCCAGCTGAATTTGGTTTGCAATGTGTCATTAGGTATTTTTACAATTGTGTTACCTTTCTATTTTCCTCATTCTAACAGTCGAAAGAATCAGTATGCCCTGAGTACTTACAGACCGGTGATAAAAAATAGACTTGATAAAGACTGAGAAGCAGAGAACGAATCTCATTGAGAATAGATTTAATCTCAATAGATCTGAGATTAAATCTTTTTTATAGAAAATATGCAAAGAAAATTCATAAGTTAATAATAGGAAGTCCACTGTATGTTTTCTCTATTATTTCCAGTACCACCAAATTTTCATTACTCTATTGAAATGCATCTAGAATGATACAACCGTTAGAGAACAATAGGAATTTATCACCCTCTCCATTTTACAGGTGGGAAAACAAATAGCCAGAGAGATGCCTAATTGATGTTCTGGTCAAGTCATCAAGATGATGAAGGCACAAACTCTTGATCACTGTTTCCTGGACTTGTCTGGTGAATAGGGTTGCCTGGGCACTTGTTAAAAATTCATGGCACATGTACACCTGTGTAACAAACCTGCACGTTCTGCACATGTACTCCAGAACTTAAAGTATAATTTAAAAAAAAAAAGAGTAACTCCTTAAAAAAAATGCTCTCTCACTTCCCCTAAGTTCTCATTCCATAGATCCAGTGAAGGCTGGGATAGTTTTTAAGGGCACTTATTAAAAATGCTCCCTCACCTCCCCCAACTTCTCATTCCACAGATCTGGGATGGGGGCTGGGATTGTTTTTAATGATGACATCATGGGATTCTTTCTTTGAGACAGTCTTGCTCTGTTACCCAGGCTAGAGTGCAGTGGCATTATCTTGGCTCACTGCAGCCTCTGCCTCCTGGGTTCAAGCAATTCTCCTGCCTCAGCCTCCTGAATAGTTGGAACTACAGGCACATGCCATCATGCCCAGTTAATGTTTTGTATTTTTAGTAGAGGTGGGGTTTCCCCATGTTGCCAGGCTGGTCTCAAACTCCTGACCTCAAGTGATCCACCTGACTCGGCCTCCCAAAGTGCTGGGATTATAGGCATGAGCTGCTGCATCTGGCCTGACATCATGGGATTCTTATCAGGGTCAAGATGAGGGTGAGCTAAGTGAGGCAAAGCCTTGGGCACATAAAATTAAGGGAATGCCAAAAAAGTCAGTAATCAAGATAAATCATAGTTTAATGCTATTTTTTTAAAAAATTAAGGTTAATGCAAAAAAATCCATGATGAACAAAATACCGAAAGTTTGAATGAAGACAAGATCAGTAACAGTGCTGTGCTATCTTCAAGTCTGGGTAAAAAGAAAATTGGCAATACTGATCTCCCTTCTCTAGTCATAGCCCTGATTCTTATCATCATCCAAGTTTGGGAAATTCTACCCTGGACAGTTAAACTTCCAGCTCCTCTCTTCTCCAGGAAATACACCCTGCTTTTCTAATTTCTTAAATAATGATTTTTGATTGTTGGTCTTGGAGTAAGGCTGATATAGAAGTAAACAAAACCTCTGGAGGTAGGACCTGGAATCCCAAAGTACCCAAGTGAATTCTGAGCATAGCCAGGTCTGAGATCCACTATCCTAGGCAAGCCTCAACACCCCTAGGGAAAGCAAGAGACAAATGATTTCCCTGAGCTCCTCAGCCTCCTTACCTTCTCTGTGTCAATGCCTCTGGACATGGACCAAGTGGACACGATATAATCCATGACTCGCTCACTCAATCCTTTTGGCACCTGGTAGAGCTTCAGGAAGTCCCGAACACTGTTGAGCATCTCATGGTATCTGTTGGTGTTGGCATACATCTGTTGGAAAATGGTCGTCACATTTCCGAAGATGGTGGCATAGAGAAGTGCTAGAGGTGAGGAGGAGGAGCAGGAGAAGAAATAACACGTGAGTGGTCCCTAAGCCAGGGTTCCAGAATGCTCAGCTTGCTCAGAGTAGGCCATTGGCCAGAGCTGCCTCCCCCTCCCGCCCGCAGTGCAGACTGCTTGACTATTCTCAGGAGACCCTCTCACCTGGAGCTTCTGGGGCATGGATGCAAAGAAAGAGCCTCCTAACACCAAGCTACTAGGAGAAACCTGTGGGAGGCAGGGTTAGGGTGGATGGGAGCTGGCATGGCTGGGGACAGAACTAAGACACACCAGTGGGGGCTAGGCAGTGGGTTGCAGGGGCAGGGGTGAGTTGTACTGCTTCATTTTATACCTTCGGTCATAAAAAGTTTGAACCATGCCTGAGGTCACTAGTCAAATGTGTGCCTATGTGCTCCATACCAGTCAAAATCCAAACCCATCGGTGAATGATCTTTATCAAGCTCTGCTATGTGCCAAGCACTATGCTACCTGCCAAGGACAGGATGGTAAATAAACAGTCAGACCTGGTCCTCACAGAGCTAAAAACAGAGCAGGAATGACAGGCCTTAAATAAATAATCACAAATAAATAAATAATAGCAGGTCTGCAGAGGGCAGTGAAGGATGTTATATCCTTGTTTTGCACTTATTGTTAGTGCACCGATCTGCTTCACTGTGATGTGGCTCCTGGGGAAAAACATAGCTTTAATATGGTAAGAATAAAATCAAGTCCCCTTTGAGACATAACAAGTATGTACTATGTGCTACTACAGCTCCTCCTACATTTGCATTAGGAAGAAGGATCATTCTGTTATTACAAAATCCCACCTTCTACCTCTAACTTCCATTGCTCAATGCTGAGCTCAACAGTTACTGCTTCCAGGAAGTCTTCCTAAACACCTTCTGCCCTCCATCTGTCACCACAAGTGCGACCATGATTTACCAGGCATATTTCTACAGAACTCATATGACACCATTTTGCAATCATGTGCTTCTTTCTTTGCCTATTCCCTGACAGTGTGAGTTGCTTGAAGGCTGAACCCTTCTTTTCCTTGCCGTTCTATCTCTAGGATCTAACACTATACCAGTACTTAATAGGTATTTGTCAAATTTCACACATTTTTGCTCTGGCTTTTTAAAAGATGAGTTATTATTGATATATAATAAACTGTACATGCTTAAAGTATATAATTTGCTATGTTTTGACATATGTACACCAATAACACCATCACCACAATCAAAACAGTGAACATATCCATCACCAACAAAAGCTTTGTCATGCCTCTTTGTAATCCCTCCCTCCCATCCCCACCTGCTTTCCACCTGGCATCCCCAAACAACCACTGATCTCTCTTCTGGCACCACAGATTAACCTTCATTTTCTAGAATTTTATAGAGATAGAATCATACAGTATGTAATCTTTTTAACATCTTTATTAAGATATAATTCATACACCATAAAATGTATCCATTTAAACCACAAAATTCAATGGTCTTTAGTATATTTACAGAGTTGTGCAACTATCACCACAATCTAAGTTTAGAATATATTCCTCCCAAAAGAAATCCCATACCCATTACTAATCATTCTCCATTTCCTCCCAAGTCTCTTGCCCTAGACAACTGCTAACCTACTTTCTATCTTTACTGATTTCCATATAAGTTAAAATCATACACCACGCGGCCTTCCATGACTAGCTTCTTTCACTTAACATAATGTTTTCCAGCTTCATCCCATGTTGCAGCATGTATCAGTACTTCATTCCTTTTTAATTTGAACACCACTCTATTGTGTGGATATTCCACATTTCATTTACCCATTCATCAGTTCATGGGCATTTGGGTCGTGTCTGCTTTTTGGCTATTATAAACATTCATGTGTAAGTTGTTGTTGCTGTTGTTGTCGTTTTTAGACCGAGTCGCACTCTGTCCCCCAGGCTGGAGTGCAGTGGCGGATCTCGGCTCACTGCAAGCTCCACCTCCCGGGTTCACACCATTCTCCTGCCTCAGCCTCCTGAGTAGGTGGGACTACAGGCACCCGCCACCATGCCCAGCTAATTTTTTGTATTTTTTAGTAGAGACGGAGTCTCACCATGTTAGCCAGGATGGTCTCAATCTCCTGACCTTGTGATCCGCCCACCTCAGCCTCCCAAAGTGCTGGTATTACAGGCATGAGTCACCGCTCCCAGCCAGCTCCTGGGCAAGTTTTTATGTGAGCATATTTTCAATTCTTTTGTTTCTATACCTAGGAGTGAAATTGCTGGGTCATATGGTTACTATGTTTCACATGTTGGAGAAATTGCAGAATTGATTCCGAAAGTAACTGCACCACTTTACATTCCTGCCAGCAGTATATAAGAGTTCCAGTGTCTCAATATCCTCCATTAACATTTGTTATTGTGTCTTTTTCTTTCTAATGAGTATGACTTGCCATCTCATTGTGGTTTTGATTTGTATTTCCATAACAGCCAATGATGTTAAGCTTCTTTTCATGTGCTTATTGGTCATTTATATATCTTCTTTGGAGAAACCAAATCTTTGCCCATTTTTCAATTGGTTTTTTAAATTGTTGAGTTGTAAGAATCTTTTATATAATCTGGATACAAATCCCTTCTTAGATAAATGATTTGCAAATACTTTCTCACATCACATGGGTTGTCTTTTCACTTTTTTGTGGTATTATTTACAGCACAAAAGTTTTTAGCTTTGATGTAGCTCATTGTATTTATATTTTTTTCTTTTTTACTCTTCTTTGACCGGTTTATTTGATTCAGCATATTTTGGGATTCATCCACATTATTGCATGTATTGTTTAATAATAGTTCATTTTTCTTTTTAAATAAGAAAAGCAAACATTTTACTTGAAATAATTAGAAATTTACAACAAGCTTTGGGAGGCTGAGGGAGGTGGATCACCTGAGGTCAGGAGTTCAAGACCAGCCTGGCCAACATGGTGAAACCTCATCTCTACTAAAAAAATATATATATATAAATTAGCTGGGCATGGGGGTGCACACCTGTAGTCCCAGTTATTTGGGAGGCTGAGGTAGGAGAATCGCTTGAACCCAGGAGGCAGAGGTTGCAGTGAGCCAAGATCACGCCACTGCACTCCAGCCTGGGTGACAAAACAAGACCCCGTTTCAAAAAAAAAAAAAATTACAAGAAGTTGCCAAGATGGTACAGAAAAATTCTGCGTACCCTTCACCCAGTTTCTCTCATCTTACATGACTACAGCACAATATCAAGAAGAGACTGACATTGCTATAAAGTATATGTATACTTCTGTGTCATTTTATCATATGTGTAGATTCATGTAACCAGCACTACATTCAAAATACAGAATTCTTCCATCACCACAGAGATCTCCTGTGCTTCCCCTTTATGGGCACGCTTCCCCCAGCAATCACAACTTTTTCTCCTTTATTATAATTATGTCATTTTAAGAATGTTATAAAAGACAGGCACAGTGGCTCATGCCTGTAATCCCAGCACTTTGGGAGGCCAAGGCAGGCAGATCACTTGAGGCCAGGAGTTTAAGAACAGCCTGGTCAACGTGGCAAAGCCCTGTTGCTACTAAAAATGCAAAAAAAAAAAAAAAAAAAAAAAAGTTTAGCCAGGCATGGCGATACACACCTTGTAGTCCCAACTACTTGGGAGGCTGAGGCATAAGAATCACTTGAACCTGGGAGAGGTAGATGTTGCATGAGCTGAGATTGTGCCACTACACTCCAGCTTGGGTGGGTAACGAAGCAACTCTGTCTCAAATAATAATAATAATGTTATAGAAATGGAATCACAAAGTATGTGACCCTTTGATATTTTTTTTCACTCATCAAAATCATCCAAGTTGCTGCATGTATCAATAGTTCCTTCCTTGTATGGATGTACCACAACCATTTCTTCCAAATAATCTTATTCAGGGTTAGCTGACATACTACGGGAGGCAAAAAATAAGAGAGAAATGCATGGATCTAGAGATAAGGGAAGGACTGAGGACACAAATCCACCGAAAGAGAGTTGTAAACAAGGATCAAAGAGTTCTCTGGAAAAGTACCAGGGACCGGTGTCAATCTGAACAAAAGGAGCCGGACAAAAAGCAGACACTAGCTCTTCTAAGCTCATAGATAGCCTCATAACAATGCAGTTGAAGGTTCTGCCTCCTCCACGCCAATAGTGCATGAAGTGTGGTCAGAACTAACCATACTCCCAGGAGATGGGTTAGTTGTCTTTTTCCAGTCAGTCTGACTCTAACTGAACAAGCCTATGTGGGCAGTCCTGCTTCAGCTCTGTTTTCTGATTCACAATGAACCAGGGATCACAGGCAAAGAGTACATGTGCCTCTTTTAGAATGGCTGCCAGAAAATTAATTTAATCTTGAGCCTAAAACAATAGTTACACCAAATCGATATAGTAAGAATGACTCTCTTGTCCATGATCTGGGAGAACCAGGCAGCAGGTCAGATGTCAAGCAGGGATGTACAACCATCATTTACAGCTCAGGGCTGCTCTTGTTCTAGGTCGCTTCTGAGGCATTCTGGAAGGTTAGGGGTCCTCAGGAGGCCCTTGCTCAATTATGATTACTATTATGAAATATTATTACACTAAAGGTTGATAATTCTCCTCTTAATGCCCCTTCCTTAATTTATTTTCCTTTTTAAAAAAAATAGCGACATGTTCTCACAATGATGCCCAGGCTGGTCTCAAACTCCTGGCCTCAAGCAGTCCTCCCACCTCAGCCTCTCAAAGTGCTGGAATTACAGGTGTGAGCTACCATGCCCAGCCCCTAATTTTATATGAAGGGGGATTACATGTTTTTCATGCACATAACATTTAAATTATATTGGTATCTTATATATAAAGCATTATACCTTAAATACTAAAAATCTAAGTGGGAGAGAAGACATGTAAGTCCAGTTGTCACCTGAATAGATATATGCGTGTGATGTGGAGAGAAAGGGAGAGAGATTGTAATGCCACTGTCAGGAGAGTAAAAAAGCCAGCAT